TAACTCAAGAAAAGGGTCTTAATAGGTGAGAGTTCGACCATAATTTCCCAGATTGTCCACCGGGTACCTCACTGTAGAGTGGGCGCACGGATGGCGACTTGCACGTAAGCAAACTTATTGTGATAGTAGACTTGTGCCGCATCTACTGTACTGCTTCTTCCTTCATTTAACTATGGTAGGTTGCCAGAAAGGCTCGAGGCAACTGGAAGCGGGATCGTGTGTCGTAAAACGGTCCGAGGAACGATCTCACCTGCGTCACCACTGTTGTAAACGTGACATCTGACGTGTGTTACCGTCGAATTAAGCCCTTATGGAATCCCCACGGAAGAACACAACAAGAAGGGCGTAACTTTGGAATCCACCTGGAGGAGTGTTTATTGTGTACGAAACCCGGAGTTGCTGTCTCGGGTGGAAGTTGCCGCTGGTTGATCTCAAGCGGGCTCTTGGTCCCGGCTTCGGGGCTAGCTCGGCATTCGGGGGAGCGCACCGCGGTGTTCTCGTAGTCCGGTGTGTGATGTAATTCTCCTGTGTCAGGGGTGACAGTGGCTATAAGGGATTGTAGCTCACGCGTTCCCTTGTGGCCTGATTGGCCGCATTGGGATAGGTCACGCGACCAGTTGGCTCTCGGGGGAACTGCTTGCGCGTACGTCCGTATCTCCAGTGCAGTCTATATGGTCATCGAGCGTATGCGGTCAGAGCGAACAGACAAATATATTTGGCAGGCACGGCGCCCCAGGAAAGCCTACAAATGTTGCTAGCATTTGGCCAGGCTAAACTCCAAACAGGGTGCACTGGCTGAGAGAGCTAAACAAACCGACTGCAAGTGCCACACACACGCCTAGTCCGCACACAACAGACCAGGAATTCATATAAGCGACGGCTCGGATCCCAACTGATTGAGTGTCATAGAGGTCACATTGCTGACTGACCCCTCTTCCTGAGGGACTGACCACGTTATCCCGTCAATCGGTAGTCTCCCAAAACACGGCTTCTAACGCACCGTGTCGGGGTCCCTGCCTCGCCACCCTTGCTTTTATATTATCTGAAGGTAGCTGAAGTGGAAGTATTTGAATTGCCTGACTTAGTTGGCACAGTAGCGTCACCAGGACTACCATCATGCAGATCTTGAGTTTCATTTTGAGTTGAAGTTCCTAGGCTTCACTAAGCACAGATAATGACGACAAACTTAGATAATGCTGAACTCCTTCCATAAATTTGGATACCGGTGCGCGCCATATCTAAATTTTTGTACCGTTGTGTTGGCTTTGATTCGCCTTTATAAAAACAATTTGCAGGGAAATTCAAATATTATAGAAAATGTGCATGTCTTCTCAATGAGTTGGGATTTTAAATTAACCTAGTATTGAGAAATCTCGCTATTCCGATTACTTTGTTCATCCTAAGGCCTGTCCAGAGCTCTGCCAATATTCCGCCAATGTTCAAGCTAACTTTATAATGCTACTTTGGTAAGAATCTAATATTAAATTCCACTGAGAAAGTAGAACACAACGACTCTTGCAAAAGAGGAAGGGTGTTATATGAGTTCTATTAGTAGGACAGCTGAGCTAAGCAATTAGGGAAGTCTACGGATTTCATTAAGGATGCTAGCACTTCTAGTACCATTTTTACACCAATGAGTTGCTCGAGCAGACGCACAATATGCAAATTAGGGTCCTGCATGCGGACGGAAAACTGAAAATCAAAAGTTACTGGTTAAAAAAATGTTTGACTGCGTTATACGATCTACGGCAGGCGAACTTAGCCCTAACCCTAACCCCACTTCTAACTCTTTAGCTAACCCATTTCTTGAACCCATCTCTTACCCAAAGCATATACCATCTCTTCAGCATCGTATTAAGTTCAACTAGAACACAACTGTTATAGAGCATACCTACCTAAATCAAATACGTAGACATTTTAAAGTAACTTAAAAATAATGGCTTATATTATTCTACAGAGAAGTTTTTGGGCAATTCTTTGTTAAAGCAATGACTTCTGGAAGTCTAGATTGTTTGTATGCTTAACTTTAAGCTTGCGACTGCGACCGCGCCGGATCTACCAGTGACGTCTGTGATCCTGCCACCGGCCAGTGTCAGTGCCATCCGGGCATTGCAGGACGTCGCTGTGACCGGTGTGACAGAGGTACTACCGGGATCCTGCCAAACTGTCGACCCTGTGGTGAATGCTGGACCAACTGGGACAATGCAATAGATCAAGTTATCGGTACGTCAACCGTCGACTAACCAGGATATCAATTATTCGTCCTCGATTAGTTTAGCTGTATTTTCCCATGCACGTTTCTCATTCATCTCCATGTTTTGTTTTCGCAGTTGAGATGCGCCGGTTTGAAAACCAAACAAGTAATCAGCTCCCGCCCGATCTAAAACCCGTGTTCACTGCAATCTCGAATTTGATTGAGCAAATTGAGCTACTGCCGGGTTCAAATCTGACGAATGAAAAACTCAACGAACTCGACGGAGTTCTGGCTCTGCTTGAGTAAGTTACTGAGAATAAAAGTTCTCGGTAGTTTGCATTTAAAGGGGCGTCCGCGCAGTAGATTGTATTACAACTGATTGGCTATGAAGCGATGGTTATGCTTACTTGACTTTACATTATCTTTAAAGAAGTTAAAAACTACTTGTTCTCTAAATTCAGGCAAAAAGTGAGGAGACTGGACAATTTGGATA